TTACGGCCCGGTCTTCAGTGATCACGTGCAAATTCTTCGAAGTCTGACCGTCTGCATTTTGTCATATCTCTCAGGTCCACGGCGTGGCCAACAAGAAGAGACGCTTGCATCCGCACATACAGGGGCAGGGGAGCAAGCGCAGGGGAAAAGGCGAGCAGGGAAGACAGGGGCCGTGGGGGCTGCGCGGAAACAACAGGTAGACTACAGGGGGGGGTGAGAAATGAACGCAAAACACTGATTCGTCCAAACTTTCGGAGTGCAGGGAGGGGGATTAGGTGGTAATCCCCAATACGCCTGAGCCTGCGGCCTCGGCGGTTATTAATGGTAATTTACATATTTACATAATTTACATATATTAGAATTTATATGTATATAATATATATATATTATATAGGCCAGGCCTTCCTTTATATCTGTTTTGACAACGTCGAATAGCTCACCCCCGGTCTCAAGTGCCTTCAGCTCCTCATACGGCGCAACCTGGGGCAGTGATAGCGATGTCGTGCCAGTACGCCCGAGGCGCCAGCGACGCAATGTGCTAAGTGCCTCCTTCGCCATGGAAGCAGGCTGCAAACTACGGACAAACGCATGAAGACTTTGCATTTCGGCTGCCCCTCCGGGCTGCAAAGTCTCCCAACACACCTTCCAGCAAGTCGACTGCACGAATCGGCTCGCTTTCATCGTTCTTTTCAAGAACCCCTTGCTTAAGCTCTGAAGGGATACACCTTGTCAAGAGAAGGACTAACCTATTTTCATTCTGAGGATCGGCTAGTGGAACCTCTCTCAGTGCCTCTAGTGATACTAGTCCAGATGATCGTTTCTGATGGCGCTGATCGGCAATCTTAAACTGGTTCTTCACGTAATCACCGAAACTGCCCGCAATCGTACTGGAAATAGTTTCTACTTGTTTGATCCACGTCCTGAGTCGCATGCCCAGTTCCCAGGGCTCCCCAGAACCTAGATTGAGCAATGGAACATCCTGAAGTAACTTCCAACGCCCGAGCGGTATTGCACCTGCCGTGACACTCGTCACGGATCCGTGTTCCGATTTCGGCTCTGCGGCCGAAGGCAATTCCCGAGATCCATCCTGTTGCACCTCCAAACCGGGCGGGTGCTCTGCAGGCTGTGCTCCTGCGGCTGTGTCAAGAGTCTCGGTTTGATGACCGGGTGGCATACAGGGATCTGCGGCCCACCACTCGGCTTCATACTCATTTATGCCTGCTTCATCCACAATGTTTTCACCTTCAAGGAGATCACTGTGCAAGGCATAAGCTTCCCATGTCTGGTGCAAGACTTCCAGATTCTGCTCCATCGCAGCCTGGCGGTCTGACATGGTAGCTACTGAGGCGTGTAGACCTGCAACATCCTGGAACATCTCATCAAGACGCTGCATATGTTCACATACCGTTGTGCCCAGCGTATCCATCTCGGCACGCACCTCAGGCATGACTGCCCCGTCATGTTCCCCAAGGCCCTTTTGGACCAAGTCATCTAACCTGCCATCATTCCGCTTACACGCCTGCTCAAGCAAAGTAAGACGGGACTGCAGATCATCCTTTTCTGAGCTGGCTTTCCGGAATCCAGCATCAAGATTATTTTGGATAGTCACAATGTGATCCTCAACCTGGGCGTGCCACTGTTGTGGGCCCAACACTGCAGCCTCGGCTTTCGCCTGGACTGCGCTCAGCTGCTCGCGAGTGATTGCAAGCTGCTGCCTCATATCCACACTGAGTTGTTCACGTGTGGAGTCGATCTGCTGCTTCAGTGACTGGTTTTCGTTCACGAGACAAGCCAAGGTACGGCTATGGGCCTCCATCCCTTGCTGAAGCCTGTCCAAATTATCCACCATGGCATTGCATCCCCCAAGATGTTGGATCTGTACTGCATACGATCATTGAGTTCGACTACGGCCGCTCTTATGTCGTGAAGCAGAGTAGCACCCAGTGAAGCTGCCTGTGCAAACTGCTGCAGGATTGACGTCGGGATCTCCAGCCGTGTCGCCTGCACAAGGGTGGCCGTCTGCAAGGGCGATGGTGATTCAGTGACGCCTGCGGGGTTGCTATGTGGAGCCCTTGGGCTCATAACCTGTTGGTTATAAGCTGCGTCATAATGCGTCAAGTCGCGCCTCTGCACAATGTTCACATCGGGACTTGATGCTGCATCGATAACACCGGGCTATAATGATCGGGCAGCGCTCGTTGTGTCGGACGATTACGGGCGTACGGGTTCGCGAAAATCGTCTGCCTCCATCGTCGTCGTTCACCTCCAGATCCCCTCTGCTGTCCTCCACACCCAATTCCAAACCTGATCACCCTGAACACCCTTCACCACATGGGCGAGTGCTCACGAGCCCATTATTCTCTCGAACTTGAGCCACAAGCCGCCGTTGAAAGCTGTATACTGTGACATGCAAAGCTCATCTTCGTGAATTGCAAAAGGAAATTAAGATGTTGCATGCTTTAACGATCGAGCCTACAGCTATGGTCAGCGCGAGGACAAAAGGAACATCTTGATACATCTGGTTCCCCACAAGCACTCCGGAGAGTGTCGGAGAGTCGCAGGTCCAGCCGGGCCTCCCTGTGCAAACGAGAAGGGCTAAGCTAGCCTACGTGCCAGCTGACCCAGACCATCTCAGGGCTCAATCCATAAATCGCATTCGACTTATGATCGAAAGTGATTTGTCGGCAACAAAGCTCGGGAAGGTGCTCTACGAGTTGGCGTCCGACCTCGGAAATGAGGGCAAGATTGCAGCAACGCTAACTGACACCTTTGCAAAGAAGAAATCCACGACGTTGTACAAGAGAACGTCCTCACTGTGGGCTTATTTCACCAAGAATTCCCGTGGGGATTATAGAGCCACGCTGCACCTAACAGAAGTGCGCGTGTATGATGATGTCTCAGACCTGAGGGAGGAAGCTGGTGCGTCTGCAGCAAAGCACTTCACTGAGGCACTGAACTTCTTCGACGCTCTGGTGGGATTCCTAAAGTTTGTCGTCGCAGAGATCCTGAGTCCCAGAGTCAAAGGCGTGGTCCACTCGGCGTTTGCTGCTAAGCGCCCAAGGAGGCAGGCAAGCCGTAGATGTCAAGGGCTTGGAGGAGCTGGTCCTGAGGGCGACAGATGAGTTCGTCAGGATGGCTGCAGGGTTTTGCTTATTTTGCTTGGCCGACACGGGCCGCTGGATTGAAGGGTTGAAGCTGAATACGTCTGGCCGTCGACCGGTGATCGGAGCCGGGACCTTCAGGCATAAAACTGGCATTGCGCTCTGCACTTGACAACCCTTCTGCATTATGTTGGCTTCGGCCGTCTCTTGGCGAGCAGGTCAAGGCCAAGGCCGCTGTGAAGGGTTTCTGCTGCCAGCTTTATCAGAAAGAACAGGCCGTTGGCTACCCAGGAAGATGTCGTCGGGCGAAGGCACTCTAGTCCTTAGGGACCTATTATAGCGATAATCCAGGTGTCAGCCGAAGGCGGGCCGTTGCCAACAACGCATCCGCTGAAAGCAACTATCCTGAGTGGCTGAGTGGGGCGTGCAAACATGGTACCTTGAACTGCAAGAGCGCATGGTGTTAGGCCATCATTTGGACAAGCCTTCTGTCTCAGCGTTGACGTATGGCAGAGCAAATTTTGTGGAGCCTCTGCGCAAGCTCCATCACTTGCTGTTGGAAACGGAAAAAGGCAACTTTGCCCCCGATGCTAAACCGTTTGGCTAAACCGTCAGTGCTCATCATTGCAGAAGTGAAACATCTGATGGGCGGTGATGCTCCGGTGGATGCGGACTCTGCCTACGAAATGGATGATGCAGGGAATGCAGAAGAGCAGGCAGAGGTAGTGGTGCCTCGTCATGAAAGGCGCCGTGAAGTTCTGAGGGATCACGGCACGTTCCTTTGTCATGCAATCTCTGGCTGCTTGCACGTGAAGACAGAGCAGCTCAAGTTCCTCTGTGGCAGGCCCATGTCTGCAAACTATATGTTGAACCGTCTGAAGCGTCAGTGCATGGGTCGCCGGTGCGTGAACAGTGTGCTGCTGCCGAGAGGGCCAGGGCGAATGCCGGAGCATGAACCTGGGTGGCAAAAGCGTGTGTGTTTAAACGTGAGGGTTTAGGTAGTTTCTTGCAGGTAGCCGTCGTGCCACCGCGCCCTTGTGCTGCAAGACCAGATCCTAAATGTTCGCGAGCCGTTGTGCATCACAGGCTCGACGTAGGCTATTCCGAGTGAACATGTCGTGTCGCGCAGGTAGTTCACAGGCAGTGAGTAGGCTTTCTGACATGTGCTTGCATTGCATTCTGCATGTGTTTGCTGTGTGTGTAGATTCTGTGCTGATTGACGTAGTTTCCTCGAGCCGTAGTTCTGAGCTGCCATGAGGGTTGATTCTGCTGCTTCGTTTCAGGCGAGAGCCAGAGAGGTCGGTGTGCCCCAAGACTCTTGAAGACAAGAATGTGAAAACATTCTCTGCCTTTGCGTTCATATCTGCCTATCAGCCATCGTCCCAAGATGAAAGCCCGTTCATTGCAGCCTTGAAGTCGTACTTCAACGAGGGTCCTAAGGACCACCTTCCTGCCTTGAGGAGGTTGTTCTTCGAGTCACATACACTGGCTGTCCAAGACCTTCGAGATCGTTATGAGGGACGGACGTCCCAGGAACCTCGCAAGTTGTCCATGCCTGACCGAGTTGACAGACTCCGTAGGCTCAAGAAAGATTTGCCCGGGCTTACCACAGACTCGTTGCTTGAGCCCTCACATGCACTTGTGGATAAGGTAGTGGCGCAGAGAGAAGAGCAATGTCTGACCCCAATCCCGCTGTCTGCGTGCACCTCCATTCCCTGAGATGCGTGCCGATAAGAAAGACCCCGTGGCCCTCCGCATCGAAAGCACCATCCGCATAACCAAGACAGCTGCACTGCGGCACGCAGACACAAGCACGGAGTTGCACGTGCGTGCGTGCATGCAAAGAAGGGCGTTAGCGATGCAGATGGCTGGCGTAGCCACCTTCTCAGTCCTGGACTCATGGATCACAAAGCTGTTTGCGCATATGATGAGGCCTACTCTCACCAACATGAAGCCTCCCAATTTGCGCCAGTTGTGCTTGCTGCAGATAAGACACTCTGGATGCTTGTGGCACAGAACACGAGGGGAGAAATGCTCACTGCAGGCCCGGTGCTGCCCATAGACCATGCAGTTAAAACACCTCAAGATTGCCCAGATGTGTCTTGCTGCTTGTTGCCGCAAACGGGAGGAAGGTTGAAGCGTAGGCTGAGCCCGGATTCCGACTCAGGAGATGAGGCGGAGGACAAGGGCGATAAGACAACCGATCCGCCACCAGGTCCACCCGGGCCTCCCCAAGGGTGCCAGGACAAGAGACGACGACAAAAAGCCTTGTGCTTCGGCTACAGCAGAGGCACATGTCCACACCAGGACAAAGACAAGTGTAGCCGAGGGCACCACCGTTGCTGGTTCTGCTTGGGAAACCATCCAGGCAAGGAGTGCCCAAAGAGAAGCAACGCCATGTGAGGTTTGATATAATTGTACGGATTTGTTCACATGTCAATTTTTGGTAAATAGGGCGCCGTAGTAGACCTGAGCCTGATGGCAACCGATCTTGTGCAAAAGGTAGTTTGGCCGGCTACTTTCAGTGATGCCAAGCGCAAATTGCAACATCACGGCCGGGCGGCAAGCACTACAGCTTCGTGAACATGTCAGCAGAAGTTAGCTCAGGAATTCATCAGTGCTTGTCAGAGTATGAGCAGCAGAACGACATGGAAGCGGGATTCGTTTGCCGATCCATTATGGTCTAAGCCCCGACCACAAGAGCATTTCCTTTCTGCCCAACCATGCTCCGTGCATCAGGGTGCCAGCTGTTGGTGAAACTCGCTACATTTTGATCGAGTGGTCCACCTTGGCAGACTCCCTTGGTGAAAGCGTACCTGAGAAAGCCATTGAGATGTTGAAGGGCCTAGATGAAGCAGGACTTGAGGCATTGCCTGGCAAAGGGCTTGTGTGGATGCAGTGCACCTTGAAGCCGCAGTTCGCACTGTTTGTTCCTACCGGATGGCTCCTTGTTGAGATTTCCTGCAACTGCCCGCTTATCTATGGATTTCGGAAGGGATTCTTCACATTCATGTCGAAGCATATGCGTAAGTATGAGGAAGCCATCTCGTTGTCACGTGCGTCCCAACAGAACGTGACACGGATGGAACAGATTCTCCAGGTCTTGAAGGATCAGGGGAAGCCCCCGAGCAGCAGGCGCAACAGGCGCAGTTGGCACAGTAGGGCAGTCTGAGGCTGAGGAGTCTTTTTCTGTAGTGTGCTGTCAGTCAGTGTACGTTTTAGCTTCGGTGTGCAGCTCGAAGTGGCTGCCAAGGGGTTTCGGGATGGCAGTGTGCATAGCGCGACGCGTCAGACCATTTCCAGGTCAGTTCTTGTACACTTTTCGCCTACCGGTGACCAGACTTGTGTCAGTGACTTGACTGCGCAGCGGAGCGTCCAAAAAGATTCCGAGCAAGAGCATGCAGCGATAAAGATGTCATTAAGCCATGTTCTTTGGTCCCGACACTGAAAGCTGTCCAGGGCAGCTGGAGTTGTAGTACAGATTGCAGAATTTAGCGAGCCCGTTAAGATTGGGATGTTTAATGCTTCTTGGACGCATGTAAAAGTACAACACCTATCGAATCACATGGCTTTTGCCCCGTTTCTCCGCTCATCTAGGTACAGAGGATGTTTGACTTTTCACGCCCAAAGCCGGACCGGCACATATGTAAACGTGCAACATCTCACGAATCATATGGCTATGGCCCTCGTTTTTCCGCTCATCTAGATGCAAAGGAGGTCGCCCTCCAGGTAATGGTGCGTAGATTGTTTATGTTGACAATAGCTGGAGTGTCGCACCAATCATGTTGTTATCTAGCCAAATACGTCGTTTTCGCAGGATTCAGAAATACCTGTAGGCAAAGGCAGCCCCAGGGGAAAGAGTGAAATTTGCTATGCTGGCATTGGGGGCTGGTGGATGCTACCGAGCGATGGGATCTGCCCAGCGTCTATCTGCTGGTTTTCCATTGCTATTCAGGCCGCAGAGTTGCCGGACTGGTTTGTGCAGGAGCATGGTCGTAACGATCTGCAGAAGTACATTTGCGCTGTAGAAGTCTTGGCCCAGCTTGTGCTCGCCGAGCTGCTTGTTGCAGATAGTCGAGTTTGCCCGACGTCTGCATGTTTAGGGCAGGTGGTGCTCAGGCAAAGTTGCGACAACTCCGGGGTCTGCGGCGCCGTGAGCAAGGCTTCGTCTATGCGGCGACCATTGGTCGACGTCCTGCAGTCTATGGCCACCCTTCGCATGCAGCGGAACACGTGGGCAGATCTGTTGAGCAGAGGGCGGGCAGCAAGCGAGTCGCCAGAGTTTTGGGAGTCCCTGGACCCCCGCCGAAGCCGGACAGCCGACTGGCGCCGGATTCTGAATGCTGGTCAGCTGCGTTAGCCGATTGTGTTGTGTTTTTTTGCTTCTTCCAGGTTGCGGGCCGCGCGATGTCTGGGATTGCGGCCTCGCACTTTTGGCAACGGCTTCGCATTGGATGCCTTCACAAGTTGGGGAAGCTCGAAGATTTGGATATTGCTGCCAAAAGTGCTCTTGGTGCTGCCTGATCCCTAAAGTCTAGAAGTGCCATGCCAGTTGAAGTGAAGAGCTCGCTTGCAGCCGGGTGCTGCAAACCATATTTTTACCCGCCCTCCCGCCCCAGAGTGGACGCGGAGGGGCGGCTCTGCTGGCCGCCCATGCGCGGATGCCTTCACAACTTGGGGAAGCTCGAAGATTTGGATATTGCTGCCAAAAGTGCTCTTGGTGTGCTTGCATGGATAGGTATGGTCTCCAGACGATAGGGATCCACCTCTGTCGCTAAACTCTTGCCGGACACGTGTAGCAAGCCCGTCAAAAGTAGATGGGTTTCTGGAAAAGTGGGGAATAGTGTAGAACCTCCTACTTCGGTAGAGCAGGCACGGCGCTACGAGAAGAGCTATGCTAACGAACCGTCAACAACGTTCGTCCATGCTGACGAAGCAGAGGATCTTGTTGGTGTCTACCGAACACCGTTGCAGACGGTGCAAGCATGCCTCACGCTACGCCGCCCGATTGGATTCGCGTCGCCGGTGCCAGACCTCCTCACGTTGTGTCGTAGAGGTCTTGAACATGGGGTCGTGAGCCACCGGACAGCTGCCTTGAAGTCCATCCTCGGCCGCAGGCAGGAACTTGCAAGCGAGGAAGCTGCAGTGCACGCTGCTCTGCACCCTGACTGGAAAGCCTGCCTCCGTGGGAAGCAGACCTGTTTGTGGCATGAACTCTTGCAACAGACTGGCTTTCCTGACATGCAGCTTGTCGAAGATGTGCGACGGGGTTTTGAGATGATAGGCCCTCATGCTTGGTCGCCGGTTTTTCGGAAGGGTTATAAGCCACCCCATGCAGCTAACCCCGCACCAACTTGCCGGCTAGGCTGAGGCGCCGCAAGGTTGTCAACTCGTGCCGTCCTAGTGACGATGCGAAGCTGGACGATGAGCTATGGCAACAAACCATGGCTGAGTGTGAGAAAGGCTGGATCTCCGGGCCGTACCTCACTGAAGCTTGATAGACGATTCAGGTATTAATGCAGCCTTCTCCACATTCAATAAGCACAAGCTAATGGATGTGGACACTCTAGTCTCCCTGATTGAGCCTTGTCCACCGGTGAGATTTTGGACTGCTCTGTGCACCCGTCTTGGGGTAAGGACTTCAATCTCGTAGGCCGCACTTTGGACCTGTCCTCAGCCTACAAGCAACGAGGCATGAAACCAGAGACCCCGCTCGTGAGGCCACTCGTGGCTTGGTCTCCACAACACGAGCGACCGGTGTTTTTTTCATAGCTAGTGCGCCGATGTTTGGCAAAACGGTGTCTTTGTTCGCCTTTAACCGCGCCGCCCTGTCGCTCTGTCACTTGGCCTTGTCGCTGGGCAAGACTTGGCTGACGTGCTATTTTGATGACTACCCAGGAGTCGAGCTCACTCGTGTGTCGTGCTCCGGCCGGAGCTTCATGCCTGCTTAAAGCCTTAGGCTGGTCGTTCGCAGAGACCGGTCAAAAAGCTTTACCGTATGCTCCAGTCTTCCATGCCTTAAGGGTGTCACTTTAGATGTCAGCGCTTGCGGAAAAGGCAAACTTACCGTGAGCAACAAGAAGACCCGTGTGGAAGAGTTGAAGCGGGATGCTGCGCGCATCCTTGATGCAGGTGCGATCTCCAGGCAGGAAGCTGCAGCTTTCCATGGCAGGCTGAATGTCGCACAGGGACAGCTGTTCGGATGCATCATGAAGCCGGCCATGCAATTACTGTCGAAATGGGCAGAACGCCAATGTGAGAAAGGCGATGCAAAAGTGTGCGTCTGTCATGACGTACATTGTGACCGTGAACTGCCCCGCCGCGAAGCATCTGCATATACACGAACGCAGGCCCCCCGTGCTGATTATCACAATTCGAGCCTGATGATCCTAGCCGTGCTGTAGGGGCAGGTGCAGTTGTTATCGATGATTTCAAGAAGAAAATGAAGGTCTGCGCGTGCAACTGCATGTCTGTGTGACTTGTGTCAGGAACTGTGTAACTGCGTGTCGGTGCTAGGTTACATGTTCGTGACTGTTTGTGCCTCAAGCCTGTGTGTGAACACCTGGAAGCCGAGCCTCCCGTGAGACCCAAAAAGATGACCACTTTCCGTACTCAACTTTCCGTATCATCTTTTCATCGACAAAAGAAGCCCCACTCTGGAAGTCACTGTTAGTCTATTTTCGTTTTGAGCAAAGCAAGGCACACCATGTTTTTAAGCTATTCTCTGGCCTCTTTCCTTGTTTCTCCTTCACCGAGACAAATCGCAAGCCTTCATCGCTAAGATTGTTGGTGGCAGTTCGTCTCCATAGAAAAGGGATTCAAACCTAAAACAATAGGGACCAAGGTTTGCGATTGTGCGTCTTTGGAGGAAAGCTTAAGCTACAAATCTTGCCGACCAAGGTTCGCGATTTGTCTGTTCTTTAGAGAACCCGAGCCAGAGCACGGGGGCAAGGCAAAGCAGGTTGAGGGGCAGAAAAGACACGAGAGGCACTCCTTGTGATTGAAGGTTTTCTAGAGAACCATTGTCCGAAAGGATTAAGGGCTAAGGGAGCAGGCTTTCTAGAGAACCGTCGCCAGAAATGACTAAGGGAAAGGGAGCAGGCTTTCTAGAGAACCGTCGCCAGACATGATTAAGGGAAAAAGAAGCACTCCTTGCGATTGAAGCTTTCAGAGCACCAGCGCTTTAAACCGATGGCGGGACAGTCCTGTGACTCAAGCTGTTCTCGAGCATGAGTGCCAGAAAGCATGAGGGGGACTTTCCTTGCGATTGGAAGTTTTCTAGAGCATCGTCGCCGGAAAAGATGGAGTGATGAGCAAGGCACTGTTTGCGATGGAAGAAAGCTGAAAGTCTCTCCAAGCCACTAGAGCATTCATGTTCTCTTCTTTCTCAGGCTGGGGAGAGGCGGAGGACCAGACTTTTCTTTTTGAAGATCTAGGGAACTACATCCTTTCACCTTAAGCGTAAGCTCTCTTCCATCTTTTGAAGAGGAAGAGGAGATAGTCAGGAGCTATGTTCTTTCCCTTGCTAAGAATGTGAAACAGGAAATCTTTTCTTGCCGATTGAGGGCCAGGCGGAGCTCCTTTCTTTCTCGTCAAATTGGAGGGGCCTGCCTGCTTGTTGAGATGAAGCTCTCTTTTGTACCATCAGAGGAAGCTGCAAGTTTCTTCTTGTCGAGGATGAGGTAAACGACTTTTCTGAAAGGAAGCTGGTGGGGCTCTGTCCCCTGTTACTCTTGCTAGGAGCGAGATCGCTTCCATGAACTTAGGCACCAAGAGGTACAGGTAACGGATCTTTTTGCTAGAAAGAAACTCTCTTCTATTACCAAGAATAACTTGGAATGAGCTGTCTTTTTGTTTCAGAAGATGAGGTAAAAGAGCTTCTCATTTCTTTTTGGAGGCCGTGGGGAGGACCAGACTTTTCTTGTCAAAGCTTGAAGTTTGGAAGAGTTCCATCCTTTCTTTTTGTTCGTAAGCTTTCTTCCATATTTTGAGGAGGAGGAGGAGGAGATGGTCAGGAGTTTGCACCTTTGACTAAGAAAGAAAGGAGTTTTCTTCTTGTCGACAAAGAGGTAAACAGAGCTTTCTTCTTGGGTACTTGTTGCTGCTTACCGCTTGGTTTGCAATTGCTCATTTATCCGGAGTCTTGGTCCGAGATAAGAAGAGAAACGATGTTGTGCTGCTGTGTACTTATGCGTGAGTGCTGACTTGGCATTGCGCTGTCAGGTTCTTGTTTGTGTTCGCTTGCTGTCCGACTGAGATCTTGTGGCACAAACCTGAAATTAACAGGAATGTTGCTCCAATACGTAATCTAGCTCGTTGGCATCAACACGGCCTTCGTGGGAGAGTATATGACTACAACAAAACCCGAGTGTCAGCTTCCAAATAGACCCTATTAAACCCCCCCCGGCCCGTCAGCACCATCCCCCCCTTTTTATGAAAATTACTGGAGTGAGATCCATGGCGTGCTTGTTCATCTTGGGAGCCCGGGAATGCTGCCTCGCTGAAGAATACATGTTCGGCACCAGTCATTGGTCACAGCTTGGGTGGGGTCCTTGAAGTAATTTGCTTCGGGTTAATTTCGTGTGTCATCGATGATGGAGGGAGAAAAGCCAAAATGTCTGTCTCACAATAACCGCGGTACGAAGACCTTGGCAAGAAACCGTAGGTTTTGCAGAGGCTTCAGGTGCCTGTCACGTGCCCTTCTTTCAGAGCAAAACAAGCCTCGGGGGAAGATGTGAAGGTCTAGCTTCCACACCATCGTCACAGCTTACATTCAAGGCCTCGTGGGCGGGGATGCCTGCAGGTGGATGTGGCAAGATGCCGGACGAGGCTACGGAGGGCCCATCGGCGCCTGGGCCCCGGTAAACGTACCGCTCTCAAAAGGGAATGGATGCACGGAATGGGCACACGACTGCGTCCAGGCGGGCTTAGCGCGCCTGAACCCGGCGCGCTGGAGCCAGCTGCTGCCGGAGGACCTTTCCACTTCACATCAACGCCGCGGGCCGTGGGTTTGGCATGCTTCCACCGCGCAGGACCAGGTTGTCGATGAGCTGTGTCGTTTTTTGGGCACCGGATCTGAAGATAGGCCCGTGAGACTAGAAGCTCAGGCAAGCATTTTATTTGTGCTGCATTGGTTTGACACAGAATCAAAAGAGAGTTTTACTGTCTTGACTGGCTTGATTTGCATCGTCTCCGTGTCAGGAAGTTGAAGTGGAAGGCCGGAGGAGAAAGATCGAAGTGCCCAATGTGCGAGAAGCCGTGAGGAAACTGCAAGAGCACGGCTACACGTAGCCATGGTCGACACGCTGGAATCAGGGAAATGCGCGAGCCCGGCTGCAACCTGCGAGCTGTGACAAGTCGTGCAGCCTGCAAAAAGGTTCAGTCTCCCTGCCCTTCTTGTGCTGGAGTAGGTGCACGTGGTTTGACAGGCTAACCAACAACCCCGCTGAGTGGGACAAGGTTGGATCGGGAAGACGGACAATTTCGTACCTGTTTGATTTAGTTGGCTGCAGGCTGCCCATCTCACACTTTTCCGGCACTCCTCCCTCATTCGTCGCAGTCTTGCTACCGTTGGAATAGCGTAGAGCTCCTCTCAGCAGAGACAGAAACGGCAAGTCCCATGCTGTCTTTGGGAAGCACTGCACGTGGATACCGTCAAGCTGCAAACATGATCAAAGTAGTCGCGATTCGGATTCGCACAGCTCATCAGGACATTAATGGCGCTGCCTACTTTGGTCTCGTACGTAGCATATACGGCTCCAAACTGCAGCATCATATTTTGTTCGGATATGCAAGGACCACTGCTCTTTCCAGTCTGCACTGGGAGAAAGTGCCGCGAGAGATGAGGGGAACCCTGCAACAAAGGATCGCATCTCAACTTTAGGACCTAGGTCCTAGGATTCGTCTTGTTTGCAAATTCAGATTACAGCGGAACGCACTCGAGACAAAGTGATCGAATTTGAGGTTTCCCAAGTAGGTCGGAAAGCACGATCTGTTCTGACCGCAGCTTGCTGACGGCAGTCTTTGATAATGTATGGCTCGACTTTGACGGATGTGACGGAAAGGTTAATTATAAATTCTATTGTTTACCAGACATGTCGTTCACATTGAATCCCGGGGTTGACTACGATGAGATTGAGAGGTGTCTGTCCGGGGCTCGCTGCTGCTAGGTACGAACCCTTGACATGGAGGCGCTTCTGCCATGTTACATGGGTGATGTTGGATGCAGCCAAAGTTGTCAGATCCACTTCGGCTTCGGCAGTGCTGCATAGCTGCCACAGTACAAGGCAGTGCGAGGCAGCTGCGAGTCTCCAGAGCCTCTCCAAGCCTTCTCGAGGCCTTGAGTCTTCAAGAGAAGCTGACTCGTCAGGCCCCTTAAAGTCCTTTCCGCCTTGTCCTTGGGGGCTGCTCAAGCGAAACTCGAAGTGGCGGCCAGCGGCCTTGAAAGGTGTCCATAATGGAGGCGCTCCGCAAGAGATTCTTCTGCACAGGAGCGGAGCGGAGCGGTGCAAGGGAGCTTTTTGGAGGCTTGTGATCCTTGCAGGATCCACCCTCGAGGTCTACAGACAAGGCTGGAGCCCCCAGGCCAGGACTTCTGACCGAAAAGTTCTGACCGCTGAGTTCTTAAAGCGAGGACAACTGTGGGGTGCAGCCCTGTGGCGAGAGCCAGCCTTAGAAGAGCCTCCTCGGCTGCGCTTTGTCGACCACCTCGTAAGCTGCTGAGGCCTCCGGTTTACCTGCCGAATGGCTTCTCCGTGACGGCCTTCGCCGTCAGCTACGTCGCTCGCTCTAAGACCCTGAGAGACTCGCAAGACTCTTTTGCCGTCTTAGCTCAGGTGCACAAAGAGCTTGTCGACGTCCGCTTGGACTGAGAGCGAAATTTGCTCTGAGACTGCAGATGCTGCCCAGCTCAGCTCGTACAGTACGCGGAAGCCGCGAAAAAAGCCTCCGCTCCGGGCTCTGCCGTTTAAAGCGCCCTGCGCGCTCGTGACGCAGCGTCGATTCAGCTCTCCTTTTTGGCCGCCGAACCTCTGAAAGGCTCTGAACTCTCGACAGCAGTGAGACTAACGGTTGGCACAGTAAGCTCTAAGCTCTCCTAGACCCCTTAAGGGGCTCTTCGCAGCTTCAGAGCTTTCAACTTCGCTTCAGAGCTTGAGAGTATCTGCCGGGCTGCCGGCTTCCAGCGCTTCCGGAAACCATGGCGTTCTGGCGGTTCTTGGTCTTGGCCGCCCTGGGCAGCTCCAGCACAGAGCCGGAGCAAGCGCCCTGTGCGTCCAGCTCGATTCTACGAATGATCCGGGATTTTGCACCAGAGTGCATCTCGTCTTGCCCAGCTGTCTGCTTGCCTTTGGAAAGCCTTATCTCCAGCGTCATGATGGGTCAGGACCCCTTCTTGACAATTTGCCCAAATTGGCAGACGTTCTATTGCATGGCCTTGCCAGATGTGTTGGAATCCTGCACGCCACTTTTGGATGCTGCAAAGACCTACGTGGGAATCAACTTGCCAAGGAGCGGCGAACAGCTTATGGAGGTCTGTGAAGTTTCAAGCACCTCCACGACAACCCTTGGAACGCAGGTGATGTCAGTGACATCGACGTCGACTCTTTCACAAAAGCTGGCCGGTACCGGTACCACGTCCACCACGGCCACGGCCACGGCCACGGTGGCCACGTCGACCCCAGCGACAAGTGGGACAAGTCTCACGGCGACCGCAACGGCGACAGCCACAGTCACAGTCACTAGCCCCAGCTCCTCCGTTTCAGCTTCCTCAACTTCGAGCGATCCAGCAGAGCAAGAACATGCTTTGCTCAACAGAGCTCCAGACAGTCTTTCAATTTCGCAAGGGAGAGCTGCTGAGCCCACAGAGCAAACGTCGACGGAGCGCGGTCAGAATGAGTCGGAGGAGGCGCTGAACACCAGCGAAAACGTGTCGGAGGAGTTCGATGATTTTCGGGATGGTCACGGACCCAGGACTTTGCTGTTGCATCTGCAGATCGGCAGGAAGTGTACCGCTGACCCAGAGTGGAGCTAGCAGTGGTGTCACGTTTTGCTTTGCTCAGCGGCGCGAAGAGCGAAGGCCATGGCGGCCAGATCGAATGTGTCTGCTGTGATGTGTATGTGTGGTTGTCCGCAGCCTTTGATTTCTCCGGTATCTGCAGACCCGCGATGGGGGTGTTTCGAGAGTGTTTCGGTGTGATTCATACGTCCTTTGACTGCCGAGGCTACGTCATTGATGGTTCTTGTTCTGCTCTCAGCGGAGTCATGATCCAGAACTTGAGAGAAGCTGAGAACTAGAGCGGAGCTAAGGTGCTCCTTCGGCATTCTGGGCACTCCTGATGTTGGCTTTGGCTTCTGCTGCAGCTTCCTAGGTCCGAAGTTTTGTCTTTGCTCTTGGGGTCCCTGTGGGCCCTCCTTTAAAGGAGCGCTCGCTCAGCAGAGCGCAGCGGAACGCAGGGAGCTCTGGGAGCTCTCCCACTTTTGAGGCCGAGACGGCCATGCCACGCTCCTTGAAGAGGAGCGCCTAATTCGGATTCCCCTCCTCAAGCTGGTGGCAAAGCCACTGCTCGTTGCTGAAATTGGGTCGAGAGCCACAGAGCAAACATACCTCGCCCGCTGCAATGCAGAAGAAATGCAAGGCAGAGCTTAGAGGGAATGCTCATGGCAACTCTGGACTCTAGCCTCTAGCAGTGCTGGGTATCTTGATGGTGGACTGTCATGCCAACATGTGACCTCAAGGCATGCAAGATATGCGGTGGTGGTCTTGTGGCCGTCGGTGAAAACAGTAGTGGAAGTAGTCGTCGTCCTGGTCGCCTCGTCGTCGTAGTAGTAGCAACTTAGTAGTAGTAGTAGTAGTAGTAGTAGTAGTAGTAGTAGTAGTAGTAGTAGTAGTAGTAGTAGTAGTAGTAGTAGTAGTAGTAGTGGTAGTAGTAGGAGAAGTAGTAGTAGTAGTAGTAGTAGTAGTAGTAGTAGTAGTAGTAGTAGTAGCAGGAGCAGTAGCAGTAGCAGTAGCAGTAGCAGTAGCAGTAGCAGTAGCAGTAGCAGTAGCAGTAGCAGTAGTAGTAGTAGTAGTAGCAGTAGTAGTAGCAGTAGTAGTAGCAGTAGTAGTAGTAGTAGTAGTAGTAGTAGTATAGTAGTTGTAGTAGTAGTAGTAGCAGCAGCAGTAGTAGTAGTAGTAGTCGTCGTCGTAGTAGTAGTAGTAGTGGTAGCAGTTGTAGTAGTCGTCGTCGTAGTAGTACTAATACTAGGTGGTTGGCCTAACTCGACTCCGCTTTCTGAAAGTCGACTCCGCATGCTTTGCACCAGGGTTTGGCAATGCTTTTCGTATTGTCCGCACATTGTCCGGGTGTGCTGCTTGTGCTTGTGTTGTTATTCGTTGTTTATTGTGGTGTGCGCAGGCTTTGCGGCATCTCGGTTTTGCCTGAGTTGGTTGTCAGCCCAGGGGTTTGTGCTCAGCTGCATGTGGAACGACGTGCTGTCCCTGTGTTGCCGATGTGGAGGGTGGTGGGGTGGATTTTGTTTTGGGAGGGCCATGATATCACACCGGAGGGTATCGTTCACCCCAATATTGAAATCTACGACCGGGTATCGTTCAACCTGATGCAAAACTGGAAACCGGAGAGGGAGCGGGCGGTGCATCCCTCGCGCCGGGGGGTGCTTGTGAAATCGACCGTGTGCATGGGGAATGGCCGGTTGTCGTGCGCTGTGATGCCAATGATGAATGTCTTGAGCGGGTGCTTCGGAAATCGCTGGTTTTGAAGTGCTGTGATTCTACTGCTGCATGCGTTGAGCGGGTGCTGCTGAAATCGAGTGTCTACCTGGGGAACGGCACGTTTTCCTCAAGTCATCATAGCCGTCCGCAGCCCTGATGCTCCTGAACAAATTTCCTCTAGCATGACAGATGTTTGTTGCATCCATTTGCTTAGTGTTGCAGAGATGCGCCTCCGCAGGCCTTGAGTTATGGCTGTGCAGACAAAAGTCGTCTGTTGCTGAAATGCAACAGTGGCAAGTCGCATCAAACAAAGCTTCATGCTCCGTTTTGCCGCTTGAGCCACATTCATGCGTTTTGGGAAGTGTTCCCCGACTGGTGATGGCATTTGCACACTGAACTCACACCGGTCACACTTTGTGTTCCCAAAACAACAGATGCATAAGTTGATGCATCTTCTTATCACCAAGTGCCTTGCGTTGCAAGGCAGTCCCCTCTTCAACGATAGACCCTCTCCCTGTGCCCATGACGTATCTCAAGTAGCAGACTGGATGAGCCTTGGTCAGAGGATCTGCAATCATAGCCCGGGTGTCAATCCAGCGGATGGTTCCGCTGGTCTCCAAGAGATCAGCTTTGATAACAGCTAGGTCGATCGCCGTCCTCTTGTCGCTGATGTAAGAGGTGGTACTTGTACACTTGTTGGCAGCATCATACAGACTCTTCGAATCCACGGCTGCCAGAAATGGTATACGCCGAGATTCTTCCCGCCATCTTTCACTCGATAGCATGCCATAAAAGGCTTCCAGAAACATTAGCCGGTGCCAGTGAATCGATCCGATTCCGGACTGCAGGGCCTGTCCTTCAGCCGCCAGGGTGTCCATAGGTTTAGGCTTCAAGCGGAAGCTGCGCCATGCAGCTAGGGTAGTGGCGGCCCCTGATGTCCTTCAGCGAGGCCTTGATCATGCTAAAGAATGATCTGTCCCCCTTGACTGCTCAGATTCTGCAGCTGTTGCAGACTTGAGTGGATTTTCTTAGCGCCCGCTGGAGCTCTTACGGAAGCGAGTCCGGCCACACCACGAAACTTCGTTTAGCACCCGGATCCCCCTATCATCGGTCCACTCATCATCTACGACCCTTGGCCTAATTTCGGCCTGCTGCAGGTCGTACTCGGTGGTCCTTCCCGGAGTAATTTCATGAAGGTCGGGACCTCCTTGGGCGGCTCCAGGATGAAAGGTAGTACGACGTGGCATCCGATGGTGTCGTACCCATTCAGTTGGTGCTTCCTCCCAGAAGTCCTCCTCGGAGTTCTCAATCCACATCTGATCTTTGGAATTTCCCCATGCAGCATCGGTCACCACGGAAACCCGCAAGGAAGGCCACGGTATTGGCATCACCTTGATGCCGAGTTGGCAATGTTGGATTGCCTCCTCAATGATCTTGTTGCACTCGATCAGGTCGGCTACCTTGGGTTCTGGAAAACACTGTTGTAATAAACATACACGGCCTGCCAGGTCACATCGAGTCTCTTTAGCCAGCCAGGAAAGAACTCCTAACTGGCTCCGTAGTTGTTGGATCTCTCCAGGGGTACATCGCGAAAACCTTTGTTGCTTCCTTTTCCTCGTGAGAGGGATCTTCTCGGCCTTCTCCTTGACATAGAAGGCCTGCTCAATCATCAAGGAACCGTCTGGTTCCTTGTGGATGTCTTTCCCGGTGAACTTGTACTCCTCGGCAATCTTTTGGATGTTGTCCCAGTGCTGCTGGCCTCCGCCGTGCAACATGTCGTCTGTTGCCAGGCCAATGATCCCCTCGAGGTTGGGGCCGTTTCTTGGCTCATCTTTTCCGTGTAGGAAGAACACACAAGGATCCGACCTGCTAGTTCGGTATCCTATTTCTCGGAGACGCCGACATAGATGTTGGTACCACGCGTAGGGACCGTCAGTGAGGGCGCATCAGGATCTGGTCCTTGTGCATTCCTGGTATTTTTCCTTTGGTTGCCTGCAGTACAGCTCTCGGTTGATCTGGTCTCCCGAGGGGAAGGCTTGGGTGAAGTCGAGGAAGCCGGGGTCCCATCCGAGACTGGCAGGACCTGTGCCACGAAGATCACCGAGTCCCGACTCACCTGAGGAGTCGTGCTTTCGACGTCCAGGGCCGTCTCTTCAGAAAAGCCCTTCATGACGCTGGGGAGGCACCGGGCAGGGAACCCAAAATCAATTTGTTGAGGCTCAACAACTTGATTTTGGCCGTGGGAGGGATGGAGGCTGCGGAGGCACCGGGCAGGAAACCCAAAACCGAGGCACCGGGCAGGGAACCCAAAATCAATTTGTTGAGGCTCAACAAATTGATTTTGGGTGTTCCGGTCCAAAATCAATTTGTTGAGGCTCAACAAGTTGATTTTGGGTGTTCCGGGCCGTGGCAAGGCTGGAGGCTGGGGGTGCCCGAAGATTGATTACGAGGGCTCTTGAATTGTGGAGTTCTTGCCACCTAGCCCCGTCTGCCAGGCATTGCCATCTGTCATCTTCACCCTTGTGCCAGCTCGATCTCCAAAGGAAGTTGGCGTAGTTCTCTGGTGGCTCACGATGGTCACCATACCGTCACGTAGACGATGCACCCCGAGTTGTCCACATACTTCAGCAGTGATACCGTAGTCGCCCGGAACAACCCTCCTCGCCATCTTCTTGGTGGTAGATCTCCTTCATGGAGGCCAAGAAGATGGCGGAGGCCAAGTCGAAGGAGCAGGTCTGGAATGACTTGCAGAATTGTCTGATCAACGGCCGGATGCATCTTCAAGAGCCAAAAGGAAGAGTGGGCACCGACTGTGAGAAGGGTCTAAGCAAGCAAAAGCGGAGAGTATATTCCGAGATTTTAATCTCAGCAGTCGGGGCCGTGATGGAGGTTTTCGTTGCCACCTTTCAAACAACACGAAGATGCAGCTAAATCATACACTTTCCTTCTCAGTCGGCCTAGGTCATGATGTGCTGAACCAGTCTGCTCAGAGCTCTCTCGTGACGTATGTGCAACATGCTCGGCCAGGACCACGGAAGGCCCTTAGAAAATTTCAAGCAGCAAAATCTTCCAGATCTCAAGGACTATATCCTCAAACAGAAAGCATACAGGACCTTGTTGAAGTTCGCTGTCAAGCTCAGCGAGACATGTCGCCGAATCGGGTCTACTTTCGTGATTGAAGAGCCATGGCAGCACGATGGCGGCTGGAAGGAAAGAGAACGGCAGCCGATCTATGGCCAAGGTGAAACCTGGAAATCCATCCGATCTCTCGGCGGCAGCAGCAGCTCAGTCTCTGGATGTTTCAGGTTCGGCTGCACCACCGAATCCGTGGATACGGCGTTGGAGATGCTAGGCCTCAAAGCCCCGGTCCTCCAGAATGCCTCGACATTTCAAGGTGAAAGGCTCATTCAAGCGATAACGGGTGAAAAGAAAGCCATTCCCGGCTGGTCGGACAACCTGGGACGATGAGATCATGTCTTAAGCTCCTAGCCTACTGGGAGACCGAGGCTTCAGTGCCGAAGAAGGAACGATGGGGTTTGAGACTTTACCAGAGTTTTCTTGAAGGTTCTCAGTTCTCAGCCGCGGAAGATTGCAGATCAGGTGCCGATGACCGACCTCCTGACGATTCACGGATATGGCTTGGTGCTGAGTGCTCTCATGGCCAAGTATCGTCCGTGCTTGGACGTTTCCTGTATCATGCAGAGGGCCAAGGCAGAAAGTTTCGCGAACTACGTCGCGGCCAAGGAAGTCGCTCGTCAGGAGATGGAAGATGGAAGGGCACCTTCAAGAACGGCTGTGTGACCGTGTAGCGGGTTCTTCTTCGGCACGCCAACTTGACTGTGTTTCAGAGGGAGATGATGGCTTTGAAGGAGCAAGGCCAGATGTGGACGTTCGATCAAGTGGTTGCCTTACTTCGTCCACTTGACAGGCTTAAGCTCCTGGCTCAAGCTGCTGGAGCAGAGTTGGGGGCCCAGGCATCCAAGCGCTACCCCGTCTTGAAAATGGATGAGGACCCGCACATTGCTGAAGGAGAAGCAGAGTCTGAGCACGAGTACTCAGAGGATGAAGAACTGGACCTGGCTGAAGGTGAGTACATGTTCGAAGACAAGGAGTACACGGAAGATGAGGCTCTGTCTATCCAAGCATACGTGCGGCGAGATCTACAAAATCGGCGAAAGGAAAGCGGCTTTGTGAAGAGATCTTCCACTCTGAATCGCGGTCGAGGACGAGGCAAAGGAGGCAAAGGCAACCCCAAAGGCAGCAAAGCACGATCGGCCCATCGAATGTCTCCTATACGCTCCTCGGGCAAGGGGAACAAGTATATGCGTGGCAGTGCTGAGGACATCCAAGCGCGTACTAAGTCTTTCAACTGTCATGAGCTGGGTCACTTTGCCAGAGATTGTCCTCTTAAAGGCGCCGGGAAAGGCAGAGCCGCAGGACCCCCTTCGAAGTCCTCCTTTGTCTGCCGCGGCAATGGTCTTCCGACCTCATGATGTTCAGCCAGCCCACTTCTTTTTGTGTTCCCTCGGAAAGGATCTTGGCCGGCTCTACACACTTCGAGCTGGTTCCCCACGGCCGGCAGCGGAGTACGCGGATTGGCTGGCCCGGGCCGCGGCGCATGCTTTGTTTGACCATCAGTTAGCCGAGTTGGCTTTTCAATGCGAGTGGTTGTGCATGTTTCCGTCGCACAGAATTTGGAGGGCGTGCTTCCAGATTCACGAGTGCGACGCAAACTGCACAGGACGGCGGTGGCCAGACCGGGTCGCCGACATTATCGGACATTGACGAGATGTTGGACAGTCCGCTTGTGGATGCCGACGTGTCCCAGCAACTTCCTCCGCTACAACTCCCCGAAGAAGGAGACGAAGCGGTGGTTCAGAAGGAGCTCCGAGACATGGATGTGAGTCATGATGTGAGTCAAGTTCCAGAGTCCCCGGCGCGGGGAAGTGAAGTCGATATCGTTGACCCTCCTCCAGAGCTGCGTCATGAACTCTATCGTCTACATCGAAATCTCGGACCTCCTGAGCTAGGCACGTTTTGCCGAGCACTGCGAAATGCCAGAGTACGCTCCGATCGTCCCATTTGTGAGAAGAGGAAGCGGCCGGGACCGCACCGACCAGCTCATCTGTCCGGGCAAGTGGAGTTCAATTCAGTGATAGGAGTGGCCAGGGTGTTCTACCAGAAAAAGATTTCTCGTTAGCTGTTTATGCTGGGGAACAAATTACCAGATGGTGATGATAGTGATCTCCAAGAACCCCGAGGAAGTGACCCGTGCCGTGTACCAGGGTTGGTTCAAGTATTTTGGGCCTCCTCACCTCACGGTTGTAGACCATGGCACTGAATCCAGCTCTCGCCATTTCACAGACACCCTTGGCGAATGGGGCACAGTGATCCATTTCACCGATGCCTTGTCTCCCTGGCAAAATAGTCGCACGGAACGAGCCGGAGCCTCGCTGAAGGCTGTCTTGGGAAAGATCCTGGATGAGCAGGTGGCAATCTCCAACGAGGAATTTGAGCAAGCTGTGAGCAAGCGGTGGATGCGGCGGTGTGGTGCCGCAACCAATAAATTGATCGCTCAGGTTTCTCTCCATTCCAAAGAGTCTTTGGCAAAAGCATGAGGACTCCTTATGCCCGCATGTCGGATGATGTCATTGACCGTGACCTCGTGAACCACACTCATTCTGATCATACGCGAAAGGCGCAAGAGATGAGAACCAAGGCTATGAAGGCTTGGGCCGAAGTTCAAGACGAGACGGCTATTCAACGAGCTGTACGAACAAATGTCAAGACGTCCGACGAGAACGAGTTTGCCGACGGCGACGTGGTCTATGTCTGGAGGCAGACGACTGTGACAAACAGGCTGGGTTGGTCCGGGAGTCGTGATCAGCCAGACCGGCGGTCTTTGTGGGTGAGCCTTCGAGGCTATCTCATCAAGGCTTTGAGAGAGCAGGTTGGGCTATTCCCTGGATGCTCGGAGGAGCAACTCATACTTCTCCACACAGAGGTGTATGGCCTCGTCTCAGGACCGTCGTGGTGGAGAAGACCGCTGCTGGATGTCCTTCTGAAGCTCGGGAACCAGTTGAACCCTTACGAGAGGTGCGTGTTGACTCTTCCAGCACAGCCGAAGGACTGCCCGAAAGACCTTCAGAAACTTGCCCAAATCAACCTGAAAGACCTGCGACCTCGACCTCTACCTCTCCGGCTACTTGTTCTTCTTCCTCTTCTTCGAAAGCTTCCAGCTCCGAGAAAACTCGTGGCGTGATCGTCATTCAGGTTGACGACCTTCTGGAGGCTGGGGATGGCGAACATCGGAGAAGAATGAAAATGCTGGAAGGAATTTTTCGACTCTGGAAAATCGCACGACTGAAAGACGTTGCACAGGGCACCGGCCACTCTGGAAGGCCTCTACTCTACTTCAATACGAAGACGGGAGCATCGGGCATACGATGTTCGACTACATCGTCAACAGAATGAAACCAGCAGTGATGCAGAGACGGGTGCTCATGAGATCAGTCAATACAGGGCAGCTTTGGCTTGCCCCAACTGGGTCTCGCGGGACGGAAGGCCAGACGTAGAATCAGCTTCGTCGAATTTGGCCTCCAAGTTGTCTACTCCATCCGTCAAAGACATCACCCAGTGTGAAACCAGAGGGAGTCGTGTACAAATCAAGCTGTGACGTGCAAGGCATATGGTTCGAAGCTATGTAAAAAGGCCTCGGGAGCAAGGGCAAGCCCCATGTCGTCCCTCCTTGGGCCCTTCTCGTTTCACATTGGTAGCGGAGCCTGTGTGCTCCAGTAGATCCAGCAATGTCCAGCCTCCTGCTGCATGTCAACTTGTTCCTCGATGTCATCGTGGTCTGTACTCCTTGTTCGTCCTCTTCGCTTCTGAGCTGCGCTCTGAGGTGGAGTTCCAGTGGTTCAGCGCCGTCGTGCGCTTCATGTGGTGTTGTGCAGCGGCCCGCCACATTATCATCCTCGTCGTCAGATTGTGCGCTGCGACGGGGATCTTCCTGTTGTTCAGTGCCGTCGTGCATTGCTTTGCCATCTTCGTCGTCAGATTGTGCGCTGCGGCGGAGATCTTCCTGTTGCTCAGTGCCGTCGCGCACTGCTTTGACATCTTCATCGTCTGACTCTATGCTGCGGCATACATCTTCTTTTGGTTCATCGCTGTCTGTGTTCGCTTCGTCCGTCCAGTCCTGCTCCTCTGCAGGCTATTGCGACATCCAGCCCTTTGGCATCTGTATCCCACCGACAACATTTTCATCTCCTTTACCAACAACAGCTCCATCGACTTCCACCTTCGGCAAGCCCGCCACCAGCGTTGCATCACCCTTTACATCTACATCGAGCACCACAACGCCATCCGCAGAGGCATTCTTATTGACGTTGTTTTCTACAGCGACACGCTCCATGACGAGATCTACTACAGCTGCAACTTCTACGTCGGCGTCTTGTGCCACCGCTTTCTGTGCGACTATGCTGTGCACGCCGACCCTCGCGACATCTGTGGCAACATCTTTTGCTACCACATCCTCTAAATCAACAATGCTGACGACGACACCTTCCACATACGCATCGGCTACCATGTCCTCTACATCAACGTCACCGACTACCACAGCCGCTTCATCAACACCGCCATCTACCACATCCTCTACATCAACGTCGTCGGGTACCGCATGCTCTACATCAACGTCGCCGGCTACCACAGCCTCTTCATCAACACCGCCGTCTACTAAATCCTCTACATCAACGTCGTCGGGTACCACATGCTCTACATCAACGTCGCCGACTACCACATCTACTACATCAACACCGCCGTCTAATACATCCTCTACATCAACATCGTTGGGTACCACATGCTCTACATCAACGTCGCCGACTACCACATCCTCTCCATCAACACCGCCGTCTACCACATCCTGCACATCAACATCATCGGGTACCACATGCGCTGCATCAACGTCGCCGACTACCACACCTGCTACCTCCACGCCGTCGACTACCACATCCTCTACATCGACATGCTTGCCGACGCCATCTTCTACGTCAAGCTCGTCGACTACCACAGCCTCTGCATCAACACTTTGGATGACCACATCTTCTACATCAACATCGTTGCCGGCCTTATCGTATACATCGGTACGCTCGAAGACCACGTCTTCTACAACAGCATCGTCGACTACCGCACCGTCTACATCAACATTGCTGACGGCGACTGCTTCTACGTCCACATCATGGACCACCACCTCCTCTACATCAACATGTTCGCCGACCACACCTTCTACATCAGCATCGTCGACTACCACACCCTCTACAGCAACATTGCCGACGGCCACTGCTTCTACGTCCACGTCATCGACTGCCACTTCCTCTGCATCAACATTTTCGCCGACCCCCACACCTTCTACATCAGCATCGTCGATTATCACCCCCTCTACATCAGCAGTGCTAACGGCCACATCTTCTACGTCCACATCACCGACTACCACTTCCTCACAGCAACATGTTTGCCAATCTCCTCTCGTACATCAACGTCGTGGATTACCACATCTTCTACGTCAACACTTCTACATCATCGACTACCCCATTCTCGACATCAATGTCTTCGCTAACGAAAACTTCAACATCGACACCGTCGGCTACCACATCTTCTACATTATTATATTCGATGGCAACATCTTCTACACCCGCGACATCTTCTACACCAACATCCTCGACGACACATCTTCTACATCAACATCATCGACTACCGGGACCATCATCTTCGACGAGAAGATGCTGATGACCGCACCTTCTACGGCAACGCTATCGACTACTACGCCCTCTTCATCAACACGGTCCTCTACATCAACATTGCGGACGGCCACGCGTTCTACAACAACATTATTGACTACGACGTCCTCTACATCAACGTGCTCGTCGACCACGCCTTTTACATGGACCTCGTCGGCTACTACATCCTCTGCATCGCAAGTGTTGATAGCCACGTCTTTTGCATCCGCATCATGGACTACTACATCCTGGACACTAACGTATTCGCCGAGCGCATCTTTTACGGCAACATCACCGGCCACCACGACGTCGACATCCTCCAGGACTACACCTTGCGTCGTGCACTCCGTTACAACTGGCCCGTTGAAGACCATGTTGTCCCGGTCGCCATGCTCTACTACCACGTCCTCAGCAACCTCTTGTTTCTCTACGTCGCCATTGCCAAGAAGTGCATCCTGCACGATGGCAGCTTTTACAACTACGCCTTCCGCGACGACACTGTCCGCTGCCACATCTCCTACGCCAACATCTCCTGCAACTATGCCCTCTGTCACCGCAGCTTCTTCAGCGACTTCGGTGTCCGCAACAACGATCTGCGCAGCGACGCTCTTCCTGGTGGGTGTGGTGGGCTTTGTGGGCACCATGAGCTGCATTGAGAGTGCTTCCGCTGTCGGCGACGACTATACTCCATGGCAGAGATCCATGATCGTCGATAGCGCCGGCACCTCCGTCGGTGCGTTCTTTGGGTCCTTTTATCCCACCACAATGTACATCGGCCATCCGCTCCACAAGAATCTGGGCACCAAGAGCGCGTATAGCCTCATCAACGGCATCCTTTATTTCATCGTGCTGTTCAGTGGGGTGTTGTCGTGCTGTACCAGTCGCTTCCCGAGGGTGCCAGTGGTTCCATCCTGGTCTTCGTCGATTTGATCCTGAGTCGGCAGGCTTTTGAGGAGACGCCAGCACGGCAATACCCTGCACTGCTGATGAGCTTGTTCCCTTACCTCTGCAACTGGGCCAAGCTTGGCAACGCGAACGAGGGAATCCAGATGATGGGTCAAGAGGGCGGCCTCATGTTCAGTGTCGTGATCACCCGGCTCTATCCACGACAAGTACATCCTCCGCGACGTTATCCTCTTCCGAGCGTTCTTGGGCAACGGTCTGCACTACAAACACTTCTTCTTCAACATCGTCTGCGGCATCATCGTGTACGACTACAGCCAGCCTTTACGGCGACTCTGTATACGCCAGCATCATCCAGAGGTTTGCCGTCCATGGTTTCACCATCTACGACCACGTCCTTAGCACGTACATCTTCAACCTTCAACGCATCATCTTCTACAGCATCTACAGCGAGACCATCCATAACGACGAATACATTCTCTACAACGGCATTCTCTAGGATGCAGTCGAACTACAGCTCGTCGCCATCAACTTCATGGACCGACAGTGCGTCCTCCCCGTCCAGCATTGCGACGAGCCGCATGGTTCCAATCATGTCTTCGCAACCTCCCCGCACGCGTGGCGCATCCTGTTTGGAGACAGAAGCACCCGACAACAGGTGCTCTAAAGAAGGCACGCTTGAACCTCCAAAAAAATGGAGGATTCTTCATAACCAGTGTGAAACCAGAGGGAGTCGTGTACAAATCAAGTTGTGACGTGCAAGGCATATGGTTCGAAGCTATGTAAAAAGGCCTCGGGAGCAAGGGCAAGCCCCATGTCGTCCCTCCTTGGGCCCTTCTCGTTTCACACCCAGCTCAAGAATTACCAGGTCACTCTGGTGATTCCGGCAGTGAAGGAAGGAGACATCAGCCATTTTGTGATCTCTGATAGTGCCAACGATCCCTCCGGAAAGTCGAAACCGCAGCACGGTTGGATCCAAGGAACCACGGGTCCGAACCTCAACGCCGGACGCCAAGCAGTCATGGGAATCATGGCATGGCGTTCTAGAAAGCTTCGAAGGAAGGCCGGGAACACGCTGCTGTGTGAAAGCATCGCTCTCTCGACAGCTCTGGGCAGCTTGGAACGTCAAGTGGCCATGCGGAACAGCTTGGTGGCATCCAACTTCCCGCCGAAGGACATGATGCAAGACGACTACAACGAGCACAAACGCGCGGCCATGATAGCCTCACAAAATGTGGAAGGAGCGCACATGGAACCTATGCTTAGCCTCCTCGCTTCGAACAAGTATCAGATTCAGGAAGAACAGGAAGTCCTGGATGCTGGCAAGCAGTCCCAATGCCGCTTGAAAAGCTAGGCATGACGATGCTTCGGCGCACAACATCATGGTGGGCTGTTGCATCCATTTGCTTAGTGTTGCAAAGATGCGCCTCCGCAGGCCTTGAGTCATGGCTGTGCAGACAAAAGTCGTGAGCTTCGTGCTCTAGCTTTCTGTTATGTTATCAACGATGTGCCGCTCGGTGTGCGCCAGTGAAATTCAGTGAAACTTCTTGTCCACCTGGCAGGTCGGGGGGAGGGGTACTGATAATAATGTTCATGTCACTGCCTTTGGCGATCATGCCCAAAACTCTGGTATTTACAGCATTTTTGCTCTCTGCACAGCATACTGCGCAAGGATGTGGAGCAAGACACGTTGTCACAAACATCCATGTGCAACATACTGTGCAAGGACGTGGAGCAATACAAGTTGTTACAAGCATCTATGCTTTTTGGCGAGCATGCTCAAAACAATCTCAAAACACTGGTGTTTACGGCATTTTTGCCTCTTTGTACAGCATACTGCGCACGTAGTGCTTTCCTTTTGCGTAAATCGCCCACACTTAAAACCTTCAAAAAAGTTCTGACACACGCAGCTGCCTAATGTGCGTTTTTGTCTGCCTTGCCAGTACTTTCGGCATTTCATAAGCCTAAACGCATCAATTTTTGCACATTAACCTTGCCTGGCATGCGAAAACGTCGCAAGGGTGCCCAAACCTGAAGATTGCGTTCTGTTCGAAACGCATGACAAACACCAGTCCTCCTACGAGCGTGTGTCCTAGCAGTAGTAGTAGTAGTAGTAGTAGTAGTAGTAGTAGTAGTAGTAGTAGTACTAGTACTAGTAGTAGTAGTAGTAGTAGTAGTAGTAGTAGTAGCAGCAGTACGAGTAGTAGTAGTAGTAGTAGTAGTAGTAGTAGTACTAGTAGTAGTAGCAGGAGTAGTAGTCGTAGTGGTCGTAGTCGTCGTCGTAGTAGTAGTAGTGGTAGCAGTAGCAGTAGCAGTAGTAGTAGTAGTAGTAGTAGTAGTTGTAGTAGTGGTAGTAGTAGTAGTAGGAGTAGGAGTAGTAGTAGTAGTAGTAGTAGTAGTAGTAGTAGTAGTAGTAGTAGTAGTAGTAATTCGTAGTAGTACTTAGTAGTAGTAGTAGTAGTAGTAGTAGTAGCAGTAGTGTTGCACAGGTACGAGCGCGGCACCAAAATCGGATGTCCAACTCCATGGCAACTTATCTACGTCAAGAGGTAGAGTAACATGTCGAACCGCACTACATCTTCTGAAGACAAGGCCGTCAATGCAGCACATTAAGAAGAAATGCGAATCCAGGTGGCCACATCAAGTATTATGATCGTCATATATAAGCAGTATATAGGCATCGAATGCACATATCATCGCACTTTCTTCATTGCTCAACCGCATTTGCCGCTTTGGTTGCTGCTCACGTCATATCTGTTATATCCGTGTTTACGTACGTAACCGCATGCTCATGTGCAATGTGTTTCAATACTTGTTGAGCTTAGAATGCTAACGGCTAACGCAGTATTTGTATGCTATGTTTAGGGGGCCTACCTGGATTCCTTGCTGTTAGGATGAGGGTTGAGGGTCTGTGGTTAGTAATTATCAGTATGAATATTATTCGATATATAGGTTTACGGTTTTGCTGTCTAGGGTATCTTTGGGTTCACAACAGTATGCCCGTGAACCGATTGTTTTGTGGTGGCAAGTGGGTGGGTCAGTGGGCGGCAGAGGTGGCTGGGGGAACAGTTCTGGTGGGGTTTGGGGCGATGCTAATCGTGGTGATTTTGATGTTTGTATCGTGCACAGGAGGAGCGCAAGTGGTTCAAGTGGTACAAGAAAACAACATTACAAGATTGTCAGACCTCCCCCATCAGCAGTACTCGACCAAGTTTAACATGGCTGCGCGCCCCCCGACCAAGCTTGCGCGTCACATTGCGCCCCGGCCACCCCGCAACTGCGGCCAGACCAAGCTGACCAAGTGACCAAGATTGTGCACCAATTTTGAACCCGTTCTCGCTAGTAGCAGTAGTAGTAGTAGTAGTAGTAGTAGTAGTAGTAGTAGTTGTAGTAGTAGTAGTAGTAGTCGTAGTAGTCGTAGTAGTAGTAGTAGTAGTAGCAGTAGCAGTAGTCGTAGTAGTAGTAGTAGTAGTAGTAGTAGTAGTAGTAGTAAAAGTAGTAGTAGAAGTCGTAGTAGTAGTTGTAGTAGCAGCAGCAGCGGAAGCAGAACCAGAAGTGGAAGTAGGAGTTTCAAAGCAGCAGTAGCAGCAGCAGTAGCACATGCAGCACAGCGGCAGTGGCGGTGGCAGCACCTTTGGCAGTGGCCCTGGCAATGGCACTAGCAGTGGTGCTAGCAGTAGCGCCAGCAGAAGCAGTAGCAAGCGGAGGAGTAGTAGCAGTAGCAATACCAGCGGTGGTGGTCCGAGGTTTGGGCTTTAGGGGTGCTGGTGAGTTAGTTTCACAGAGAGCTGGCATTATGGTTGATGTCGGCTTCAGGCTTGAAGGGTGCAATTAAGACCCTTCTTGCGACTGCTTTCGTAGGATCCTAAGCCGACAGGACATGGTGACCATTCATGAGAGTATAAGACCCACTTGCAGATCAAGCGAGCCGACAAAATCTGGGCTGCAGGACCACACAAGGGAGCACAAGCAAGCGTTTTCAATGCTGCTTGAAGATCTATCACAATTGCCCACTTTGCAGCTGTCTCCCAACTCATGAGCGCAGTACCCCAGTCGCCGTGAATGAGCCAAGCAGGTGGTCATTTGTTCTTTGCAGTTGCAAGCTTCGCAAACCCACAGTCTCAAAGCCACGCTTGGGGTCCAGGCGTTTGCCTCCAGGATGCCAGGTTCCACGTGGGCCGAATCGAACAGCATTCATGACTTCGTTTGGCGACTACCACCTGATTTGGTACGATGTTCGTTCGGAGCGAGACGCGTTTCAGCCGGACCAGTTTATCTTCGAAACCGTCGTGGAGAGCGCGCCAAGTCTCTCTCGAGTTCGCAGTGCCAATGATCTGTTTGAACTGCTCTCGGGAGGTGACAGGGAAGCGACCACAAAGGTAGTGGTAGCTTTGATGGCACTTCTGGGTGGAAACTTGATAGCTCGTGGTCAGTACACAGCATTTGTCAGCTTCGTCGGGATTTTTTTGACAGTTGGAGTTTTCCAACAGCTCAAAGGACTCGCACAAGCATCTGCAGTCCTACTTGTGTGTTACTTTCTCAAGACGACAATCTGGGATGGAACTGTGTCCTTCGAGTGGCTTCTTACAGTGTTGGTCATAATGGTTCTGGCAGTCTTCCTGGTCATGGTCATTCGCATCCTCTCGAGGCAGGATCCTCGCAGCTATGTCCTGTTGAAGGAGCAATCATCGTCGCACCACGCAGAGATCCGCAACAAATGTTGCATGGATGTTAAGGTCTTAAGCTTTGAAGCGTATGACAATGTGCGCTTCGTGCCACGGGGGGGTTTGCTGCCCGAGGGCTCTGTTGTCCCTCGGGGTGGTCTTATTCAGTTAGGCAATTCGCCTCCGTACAGCGTGAAGATCTTTTCGCCCTTTGAGACGGAGCTGGGTACCTGGACGGATGTCCAGGGCCGTTACGTCCTGCGTGAGACCATCCCAGCCCTTCTCCTCCGAGCGAGTTTGGGACCCGTTTCCATCTTCCGGAACTCCACAGACAAAAGCCTCGTCTTATGCCTTTGCAAAGCGAACCACTGGACTAGCAGCTTGTGGCTTCCACTCTCCCAGGCCATCGCACGCTTGCATTGGCCCGGAAGAGTCGTTAAACCACAGGAGGAAGTCGAAGTTCCCATGGTGCCGTGCGTAGTCCGTGTGTACACGGGCTTCGTCAACGTTTTCGGAGCGCATGGTCTTCCTGGAGGAATTCTTGAACAAGCATGCTGCATGCTTGAAACTGGCGAAGACGTGGATTTTGTCGGGGGCGTCACCTGGTCCCGCCCTCTGGATCGCGCGAGGAATAGCATGTCATCTTTGCTGTCGCTGAATCGTAAGTAGCGTCAACAGCCAAAGCTGCTGTTGGCACATGTTGCCAGCCCACATCCATTCCATGGGCAAAGCCCAAAGTCCTGTGCTTTGTAGACGTGACTTGAGCTAAAGGCACAGAACGGCAAGAGTCTCAGATTGCAGGATTCTTTGATGCACGCAATGCGATGCACTTCAAGCTCGCTGCATGCGTGTGTGACATGCCGTGCGCCGTGGCACTTGCGGCCGAAGCGTCGCCATCACATGGTCTTAAAACCGTTGCTCATGGAGTCTGGAGGGCTGTTTACGCAAGCCGACAAGTAGCTAAATAGCTTTTGCTTCGCAAAGTCTTGAGCCATCCGGATCCCGGGCCACAGCCGTGGTGCACAGCGAGATGGGCGGAAAAGCAGGCCCGAACCCACTCGCATTGTCGCAGCACTGCCGTTTGGTTGTCGAGCCGTGTGCCACTGCAGGCGTGTGCCTTCGGGACGAGGAGGTCGAGGAGTGGAAGATGCTGAGCACGAGCACACAACATGCCTTTAAAGACTCAGCTGACAGGACCTGCAATTCCGTGGTCCGGTGACTAAGAAAAACTGCAGCTCCCCGGCTATTTTGCTCTATCTGTGACTGTTATTGCCGCATCGCGTATCTTGCGTATGCTCAGGCGATGGCGCTGGTCGCTTGATGGCCTGGGGGAGTGCTGAAATGCAGGCCCTAGCCCTCCTTCACCTTCCCTCCCCATCAGCTTGGGCTTTGCAGGTGGCGTTAGATGCCATGTATGAATCAGGGCTGGCGGGAGTCCATGGAAGACGCCCACCTTGTTCTTCCGTCTTTGAGAGAGGCGGTTCTGCGACGGGCTGAGCGGACATGACCTTTCTTTGTTGGAATCTGTTTCCGAGCGGCTCCAGGTCCGAGAATTGCAAGTTGGAGGTGGACGCTGGTTGGGAGAACATTGGCCTTTTCGGGGTCATGGATGGCCACGGCGGCTTCCAGGCCACCGGCTTGCCCGGCTTGTCTCGTCTCACCGGTTTCTGTTTTGCATGGAGGTGGCCAAATTCTGCGAACGTCCCTAGCCGAAGCTGCCCTCGAGACGTTCCGGAGGGAAGTTCACATCTAAGGCCACTTGCCCGAGGCGATTGCCGCCAGGCCAGGCCAGGCCAGGCCAGGCAGACAAAAGCAGAAAGCTCTGCGCTCAGGTCGAGCACTGACCCGGCCCTGACCTGAGCTCGCGGCTCGCGGGGACCTCCGCGGACTCCGCGGCGGACTCTCCGGGCTCCTGGCTCTCCGGATGGGCCTCGCCACGGCCTCGCCACGGCCTCGCCGCCTCGCTGCTCAGGCAGTTGCGATGGCCAAATCCTTCGCCCGCACCCCAGTGGCCCACGGATCCGAAAGCAAAGTGCGAAGCAGGGAAAGTGGGGGGCGGCTGTACAGCGGCTGTACTATCTGATATGTGTTAGGTTGAAATGGACGAGCTCCTGCAGGACAAGCGCTTGTATTTCCCCTGCCTTCCAGAGTGAGATCCATCGACTGCCACAGGAGCCAGAGGGGCTCAAGGAGCTTCGCAGGCGTCGCGAAAGTCACAAGCAGCATTGCTGCATTTGCTGCGTTTGCTTGGGGAGGCTCTCTGCACTGGCCAAGTCGGCGAGGCCGCCTTGGCAGACGAGACGACAATTTGAGCCTCCCGAGCTTTCAGTCTGAGCTTCTCCGCTTCTCTTCTCTCGGATCTTCGACGGAGGGCTCGTCGTCAGACAGCAGAAGGCATGGGCTGCACAGTGGTGTTGCCGGCATGATTGGTACGGACGGACATCCGTTGCGCAACAGTCGCGAGCAAGTTGTCTTCTAAGTTCTGAAGATTACAGTTTCGAGTACACTTCAGCATGAATTGGACCTTTGTGTGATCTCGTTTGGTTTGATCTACAGGTCGCGTTTTTTTTGAAGCACAGAATTAAGCCCCAAAATTCGGATCAGGATGCAACCCGACCTGACCTGGAGACCTGGGCTTGCATGAAATTGCCAATTGCCAAACTTGAAAAAAGTCGTGTAACGTCCACAGTCTTGTTGGGATGTGGCACTCGAAGCTTTCAGACAAGATGGGCTTCCGATGGAAGTTCCACTTGAGGTTTTCTTCTGCGTGCAGGTGCTCAGCTGCATTACGCCCAACGCACTCATTGTCGCGAATGCGGGTGACAGCCGCGCGGTGCTATGCCGCAATGGCCAGGCCGTCGACCTGTCAAAGGACCGAAATGCGAAGCCATTCCTGCACCGCTTGCGTTCGAAGTTCTGTTCCAAGTTCCAAGGACCATAAGCCGGAGCTCCCATGTGAGCGATCGCGCATCGAGTCTGCAGGCGCGTGTCAGCACTGTCCGGAGCGATGCGTCCCATGATAGTATAAGCTGGCTGGCAGGTGGATGGATCGAAGGTGGCTCCGTTCTGAGGGTGCAGGGCCTGGGAAGCAGATGGAGCAGCAGTATCGTCTGCAACGCGTTGGTTCTTCCCACTTCGTGCAAGGTGAATGGAGATCTAAGTTTATCACGGGCCACCAAACAGCAATGCGTCTCACCTTCCCTGGCAGACTTCCTTCCGCTCTGAGGCAGTCGGGGACTTGGAGTACAAGCTCAATCCTCAGCTCCCTCCGGAGCGTCAGATCGCCGCTTGCCTGCGTCAGCTGCGCAGCTGCGACTCGAACGACACCCAGCAGGCTTATGACTGCACGAACGGTGACCTTCGAGCTCTTAACAGCTTGGTCCAGGGCAGCATACAATGTTTAGAGAACCATCTGCTTTCTTCTTCATCTCGTGGTGCGAACACCACCTGCTTTGGACCTGCACCGTTCTTACCAAACAGCATGAACGAGCACCGACAGATCGGATTTTCTGATTGTTCTGGCTTCTGCTTTTGCTTTTCTGCTTTTCCGCCTTTTGCCTCTCCGCGTTTATGCTTCGGTTTTACGCTCCTCCGCTTTTCATTTTCTGCTTGTCGGCTTCGCTTTTCTTTTTGCACCTACTCCTGCGAGGACGACGACGACTACTACTGCTACTAGTAACAACAACTACTACTAGAACTACTAGCTGCAACTACTACTGCTATTACTGCTGCGAGGACGACGACGACTACTACTACTACTACTAGTACTACTACTAGTACTAGTACTACTACTACTACTACTACTACTACTACTACTACTACTACTACTACTACTACTACTACTACTACTACTGTTACTACTACTACTAGTACTACTAGTACTACTAGTACTACTAGTACTACGCGCAGGAGTAGAGGTTTGCCCACGGCATTTGGGCACTTACGCATCAGCATTCAGGATTCAGGGTTTCGGCTGCGCTTCAGTCTTTGGATTCCAGGACTATTGTCTTATGTCTTCTTCTTTCGGTGCGTTTGTGTCTTTGGATGCAGATTTTCTGCCTTATGTTTTCTTATTTGTATGGTGCATCAACACTGTCGCTCCACCATCTCGCCCGCGTGATTACGAACATCTTCAGCAACATCGTCCTCCAAGTCAACACCAAGTGCATGTGAGGTCAAAGCAGTAGCAACATGTCTTCCGCTCATGATGATGTCTGATGATGCTGATAGGCTCATCTGTCGTCCTGGTGGTGTTGACGATTAAGATGGTGAGAATGAATAAAACTCCCAAGAACTTAACAACCCTCCAAGTCTCTTCGGTGTGCGAGCTCTTGCTTCTGCCTCGACTTCTGGTCTCTGGGCAGAGGGAGCAAGTGCTGCAGTGACGCACCAGAATATGGCAAGCTTGGCTCAATGATTCTGTGCCCGCAAGTTCCCTCTGACTTTCGCACGTGGCCGTTGGCGGTGCAGGTGAACGTGCTGTCCTGTCTTTCGGTTGCGGACCGCACACGTCTGCAGTGGTGTAGCCTTGTGCAGCACGAACCAACACTCACGAGGCCATGGCAGCGCATAGTATGCTTATGCCAGCTTTCCGCGGTAAGCTGACTACGACCCCAGTCTTTGGAGTAGTGGCTTTAGAGCTTTCAAAAGGGCCATAACGAAGTCATGAAGATTTTCATGTAGGAAGATGCGATGCTATAATGGTATAGGATTTAGGGTCTACTTGGAGGTTCATGGGTAGTTATAACAGTGGGGATATAAGTCCCTAATATGATTCGTAACTACAGGTAATTAACCTGCTTATAACCTGGCTTATAACTACCCATGAACCTCGAAGTAGGAATCCCAGGAACAGTTGCAACATGGCAGAGCTGGAGCCCAAAACCTTACCTTTATAATTTACGGACTCATGGTTTCAGGTTTTCTGGCCCACAAGGACCATGCTATCTTAAGGCTAACATTATCGGTCTCAGGGCCTGCATGTTGGCTGACAATGCCCTGCAGGCTGTTACAAGGACTCGAGGGCTTCCTGCCGCCACCACAAGCTCCGTCGCCAGCACCCACTCAGCTAGACCCGCCGGAGGTGGACGTGCAGGACCTCGGCGGCTTCTTAGACCCGGAGACACCTCCCAGAGCACTTCGTCGCCAGCCTCTTGAGTACACGCCACCGTGACCATGGGCAAAGGAGGCCTCAAAATCAAACCCAAAAGCAAACTTGGGAACCGCAGGAAGATCAAGAAGGACCAGCAGCTGCAAGACCTCAAGACGAAGAACGCAAACTTCAAACGGCATAACATACAATACGCACCGACCACAGCTCCGAAGCAGTCCGTGGCCTTGAAAGAGTTGCAGGAGGAGATCTCCTACCCTGAGATCGTGCGCAGCACCGACAAGGCCCTGAAGTCCATGCTCCTGGCCGAAGGCGTGCTGCGCGCGAAGACACAGCGGCCCGTGATCATGTGTTGGTCCTGCGGCAGCCGCATGGAAGCCGCAGACAGCCGAAGTAGCTCACTCCGCTGCTCCGGCGGGCGTGCATGCCCGACGCGTGCCAGGCTGAGCAATGTGGACGATGCCTTCATGCCCTTCGGCCCGACAGCAGCATCTGGATGCGACAAGGACTTCGCAGCCTTCGTGAGAACCGCATGGTGCTACGGCATGAAGGCAAGCGTGCGACATATGTAAAACTCAGACGTGTGTACCAGTATTGCACAGTAAAACCCCTGGCCGTCTCTCGAGGAACCTGAACATACGGCATCATGGCAGACGTGCGACATATGTAAACCGCACGCGTGTGTACCAGCATTGCACAGTAAAACCCCTTGCCGTCTCTCGACGAACTTGAACATCAGCGATCCTGCCGCCTGGGAAAAGTAGCAAGACACGAATACTACATCGAAGCATTGGTGTTTGCCTCCTTGTCAGCGAGACGGAAGATCCAGGAATTAAACATCCGTTTGAAAGCCACTCAACCAGGAATAAGACATCAAAGTATTGCCATCGCCCGCTGTCCTTAACAGCATTCAAAGACGAATACCACACGGACGCTAGTTGTGAGTTTTTCTGTTGAGTCAACTGTGTTTTCGTTGTAGTGTCGAAAGAATACTCTTTTGTGCCGCGGTGCTTTTCGGCACTAGCTGTCACACAACTAGCGTTTTCTGCTTGGCATCGCATGCTAGAATATTTTTTCACCCACCCTCCACGCCCTGGGGATGGCTCGGCATCGCTTGCCTCTTTCCTCTGGCGAGCAATGCGTCGCAATGCAGTGCGTCCTTCGAGCAATCTCTGCGGACAAAGAGGGAGTCCGTTCGCCATGCACTCCTGTATCTTTCGAAATAGAATAGAGAACGTAACTGAGCTATTGATTCACGCTTTGTTTCCGAAGATGTCCCAAAGTTGCTCGGGCGGAGATGAGAGCTGGAGGGAACTGCTGCGAGCGGCTTCGCTGGCTTCCGTGGCTGCCTGTTCGCGAGCGGGGGGACTGGGAAGCGAAGAAAAGCGCGAAGCTGAACTACGGAAACGGTGCGGGATGAGACCCGGGTGCACGCAAGGGGGAGAGAAGGCGAAGCGTGCTTTTCCTTTTAGCACGCTTCGCGTTCTCTCCCCCTTGCGTGCAACCGGGTCTCATCCCGCACCGTTTCCGTAGTTCAGCTTCGCGCTTTTCTTCGCTTCCCAGTCCCCCGGCTCGCGAGCAGGCAGCCACGGAAGCCAGCGAAGCCGCTCGCAGCAGTTCCCTCCAGCTCTCATCCCCGCCCGAGCAACTTTGGGGCATCTTCGGTGGCCGCACCCCGTGCATGCTGCCCTGGTTCAAAAATCCAAATACATAGGTGGGTATGTCAATAAAGCCGGTGTTTTTCATGTTTGTTTCGGGAGCGATGTCTCAGCACGAACTTCTCTAATTTCTTGTGAAGTCCACCCGGTTGAAATGAATGTTCTCATTGCAACCCAGGCAGGAGCCAATAGAAGGCATTTCCAACAGTAAGCCATAGGAAGCCTGTACGACAACCAAACAGAATCCAACCAGGATCCACAAGGAAGCATTGACAGTGCTGAAGTTGAAGCAATACCCAGCCAGGAGCTTAAACACGGCAAGGGGTCAATACTGCGCAATACGCATGCGCAGACACGCAACACACGTAGACATACACATGCATAGACATAGACAAGACATAAAGACATGCACATATACATACACATATACATATACATATACATATACATATACATATACATATACATGTACATATGCATATACATATGCACACACATACACAAGCACATACACATGCACATATACATACACATAGACATACATATGACATAGACATATACATATACAAGCGTATACATACACATTATCATCCTATGCATTATATCTTTCACATCTACTGGGAAGCCAGCTTAGTGTAAGTAAAAAAAAGGCCGCATAGTGTAAGTGCGAGACGCTGTGTCTTCCATTCAGACGTCAGGCCGGGGCAGATCAGACAGCTCATCTCATCCGGGAGCCGGGCGAGAATCTGCTCACAGTGCACAAAAAGGTGCAGCGATACAGACAGCTGCATGCCATCGCTTTGGCCTACAGCGAAATGCTGCACGCGCAGCAGGTCCGCTTCGAGTACGACATCGTAGAGCCAGACAGTGCGCGCTTCGGGAAGCGGGCGACAGAAGATGGTTCCGCTCGCACGCACGTGGGCAGGAGCTTGAGACTGAAGAAGTTGTATGGAGTCAGGTCAAAAACATGTGAAGAAGCAGCTACTTTGATTCCCATGGGCCGCCGTGCATAGAGAGCTTAAGTTTCAGCCTTGTACGCCCTAGCCTTAGTCACCATTGAATTCCCAAACTGTGAACTTAGCAATCACACAGTATCTGGACACAGGACGTTGGTCTTGAAGGGGCGCAAAAGCAAGGAATGGACGGCAACTCCTCTGCAACCAAGTCAGTCACTGGGCAAGCGCGGCATGCCACCCGAGTCTCTGGACGAAGTCTTGGGTCCCATGCAGAAGCAGATCCGTCGTGGGTGCGTTGTCGCGCCCGACGGCGGCCAAGCCTTCAAGGCTGCCGCGGCTGCCTTGCAGAAGCCATTGCTGCCTGGGGTGAGGCATGCGCAGAAGCTTTTCACGCCCACAGCCAAGTTGCCAGCCTCTACTTGCCAGACGGAGACGAAGAAGAGGACGCTGACGAAGAACATCGCCAAGAAGTCCGGGCGAGACTACATCATGGCTGCTGGTGACAACTGCGCAGAAGGATTGCTTGGCAACATTAAAACAACGCTCAGGACCGGAGTCTTTCGAGTAGCAGCGTACACAAACCGACCAAGTGGCAGCTTCATTTCTCGGTTTGAACAGTTTCGTCTTTTCTTCGGTTGTTGCTTCCAGGAGATCTGGTGGCATGCGCGCGCAGAGAGACAAGCTTTCTTCACTTCGTTCTCTCAGTGCAGCCGCTCTGCTTCGACAGCCGGGCTTGCGAAGAGTACTTCAGGCACCGTTGGCCCAGAAATCTGTCAGTCTTCTTCGGCTTGGGGTCTAAGATTCCAGACGTCAGGTTTGGCTTTCAGGGATTTGAGATCCTTACTCTTTTTTGGTTGCCGCGTTTCGGTCTGGGGTTTAGCCTGGTGTAGAGCCTCCCCGACTACTCATCATCTGCGGCAGGCGCACGCAAATTATCGACGTGCGCTGGAAT